GCCATCGCCTAGGTTTCTCTCGTCGGAATTGCTTTCCCGTCAGCTCTGAGCTTCATTCGCGAGCAGCGTTAGGGCCCGAGTGCTGAGCCGGAAGCAATGGTAGTGGCTGCGAGCCAGCCAGTCCTCAGATCTTAATTGAACTCCCAGAAAGATCCTGGCGGTAAACGGACGCCGCAGGGCCCCTAACGGCACCCGGGGCTGCGGGGTCCGGGAACACTTGTATGTAGCCTCGCACCCTCGCGTGCCAGAGTGAACAAACGGTGCAGGGAGGAGAGCTTTAGGAAGAGTGCCAAGGCCAGGGTTAGGGAAGTGAGACGTTTGATCTTTACGGGAAAGGAGAACCACCGAGGACGCCCATTGACGCAGTGTTGGTGCGCAGTGCGTTCAAACGGAATGAAGCTATTTGTTTAACACAAAAAAAGTACTAGGAAGGCCGGAGCTCGGTGAAATCAAGGTTAAAAACAAACAAACAAACAAACAACAACAACAACAACAACAAAAAAAACAGGTAAGAAGCTTAAAAACTCTAGATCCTAAAATGTTCACTTCTGGAACCTATTTGGTGAATAATTTGCCTCCAAATATTACGAATTTGAAGTTGGGTAATCCACCTATCGTTAACCTGTCATTAACCAAGTTTACATTTTTAGCTCAAACACGGGAATAGGTGTCACAAACGGCACCACATTTCAGCCTTGCCTCCCATCTACTTCTCCACATTCCATTTAAGCACTGGTCCATTTGTCCAAATACAGGAGTCCCAGTTTTTCTAAGACAGGCATGTCGGTATCTCACCTGAGTTATCCTACCCCTCCACCCCCCACCCCCAGGTTTATGTTGCCTAATCCGTTCTGGAATTTTTTTTTTTTTTTTTTTTTTTTTTTAAGGGAAGGGTCTACAATGTGTTCAGGGTCTCACTACTAGATCAGACTCGTAGTGATCTGCCTGTTTACAGCCTCCCAAGAGCTGGGATTACATGCCCGCCACCACGCCTAGTCTCAGTTGCCTTTCAGCATGCCCGGGGGTTGACCCGGTGAACCTTCTTTTAGGTGCTTTAATTCACTGAACTTTTTGGCCATCCCAAACCATTGTGGAATTTTTGGATTCAAGACAGTTCTCTTGCCTCAGGCTCAGCCTGCCCTAAAGTAGTTTTAAACGCACCTTATATGGCAGTTTGTATATCTGAACTCAGGACCTCAAGCTTGCCAAGCATGTGCTGCACCACTGAGCTACATCTCAAGCTCTGTATATTTTAATATCGAGATAAAACACAATTTAGATGTGTGAATGTATATTTGTAAGTGAAGTGGTGTGCCCCTGTAATCCCAGCGCTGGGGAAAGCTGAAAACAGGAGAATCACTACGAGTTTGAGCTGCATAGTGAGACCCTGCAAGGGGGTGGGGGTGGGGATGGGGGTGGTGTAATGCTCACTGTAGGGTTACCCTATGACGTCACTGATCCAGCATTTTCAGTCCATCGCGTTTACCTTCTAGTAAGCCATGATGTTGCCAAAATACGGCATAATGG